AATCTCAAGTTGACTTGCAGAAAGTGAGAAGGGAAAAATTAAGGCTCTCACAATGATTGAGGGTACTGCAACTGAACAATTTGCAATGCTTTGGGGTTATGTAGAAGAGATTAGAAGTAGTAATCCAGGAATAACAATTTCCATAAAGGTGAAAGAATTTCCAAAGTTCATGAAGAGGATGAGCAAATGTCCAAGTTTAAGGATTGTATTTGTGTTGGGGTCCATTGAAAAAGAGTTTCCAAAATGCTTGTAGGCCAGTCATTGGAGTGGATGGTTGTTATTTGAAAGGCCACATGGTGGAGTGTTGTTGATTGCAATGGGGATAGATACAAATAATTGTATATTCCCATTTGCCTATGCCATTGTTAAGACGGAGAAGAAGAAAACATAAATTGTGGTTTCTGAATTTATTAGGCAAGACTTGAATATTGTGAATTCTTATTATTGTACTTTCATGAGTGACAAATAAAAGGGCCTAATTGATGTAGTGGTTGAGCTCTTTCCAAATGCTCTCACACAGGTTCTGTGTAAGGAAAATGTACAACAATTTCAAAGGTCAATTTAAGGTTAGGGTATTGAAGGATTTGTTATGGAAGGCATCGGGGTAAGCATTGTTGGTGTATTCACCAAAGTTATGGAAGAAATGAAAGGAGTTGATAAACAAGCATACAATTGGTTGGCTAAAAGAGCACCAATTCATTGGAGTATAAGTCACTTTCACAGTTTCCCCAAGTGTGACATTTTATTGAATAATCTTTGTGAGTGTTTCAATGCATGCATATTGCAGGCTAGGGATCAACCTATGCTTCCATGTTAGAGAAGATAAGAGTTTTGTTGATGGAAACAGTTCAAAAGTAATGAAGTAATGAAAAGGTACAACAAAAGTGATATATGTCCTAAGATTCAGAAGAATTTGGGAAAATGTAAAGATGAGTGAGCTGGATGGATTCCTAATGAAATGGGGTTCCCAATATGAAGTTGTTGGCCAATATGGTGAGCAATATAAGGTGGACTTGAAAGAAGGACTTGTGGATGTAGGAAATGGGATCTGTCAGCTTTCTTTGTGTCCATGTTGTGGCTGCTGCAAACTATATGGATGAAGAACCAGAAAAGTATGTGCATCATTACTATAAAGCTGAAACCTACCTGAGGATTTATGAGAACATGTTGACTCCAATCAATGGTAGACAAATGTGGCAATAACTCAATATGGTAAAGTGCTACCACCTGATGTGATGAAGAGAGCTGGGAGGCCAAGACTGAATAAGAGGACGGACACAGATGTCCCAATTGATGTAACTGATTCAAGTAAGCTGGGAAGGAGGGGAACTCAGATGACATGCAAGAATTGTGGCAAGTTGGGACACAACAAGAGGACATGCAAAGTCAAAGGCCAATTCACCTACCTGAAAGATCCTGTGAGTTCTAGTTAAGTAATTCATATTTTTTTATGCATTTTGTTAACGTACACATTGCTAAATTTTGTTTTTTTAGTTTTTGCAGTCCAGCATGAAGGAGCTAATGTCAGGCCCAGACTGAAGGGAGCCAAACTCAAAGTCAGGTAAAAGGAGCCTGGTTGGGAGTCAGGTTACAGAAGCAACTCCAAGTTAGGAAAAGAAAATGGCCGTAAGTTTTGCAAAGGCGCTATTTGTTAATTTACAGATTTCTTCCTTGCATATGTCCTAACAATGATGATGGCTATTGTTGGTAAAAAAAAGAAAGGTTAAGAGAACAAGTGACTAACTCCATTGCATGCAAGTCAAGATGTGCAGGGGTTTGTAGTAACTTTCAATACTAACATTCCTTACAGCTTAAATGAGATGGAGGAAGAGTGGTGACAATGCTAGTGCTGTCAAATCTATTGTGGGTCAAACCAAGAATGCAGCTACATAAAGTAACGGACGTGAAGGACCACTGTTGTGTTGTTGTGTGTGTTTTTTTTTTTAATGTTGGAGAAGGTTTTTGCTACTTTTGTTCATGGAATACAATGTAATGGATGTGAATCTTTTTTGCTACTTTTTGTTCATATTACATTTATTGACTTTATGGAGCTTTTTGGTCTTATGTTGATTCATTTAGGCTTTTCTTTTGTCTAGCTACCTGATTCTCTCCTTGTATGGCGTGGTGAACCCCCCTAAGCATGCCCTTCTTGATGTTTCAGTGGGTTTGGAACTTTCTCCATTTCCAGTCCTTATACGGCAATAGCGCTTGTTTCCTTGCATTTGATGCTTCGCTTTAATGCTGTTAAGGAAGTTGGTATCTTATGCTCCAATGTTTGGCGCCCGTTTTGTATGCTTCCATGTATAGGCCATTTAGAATGGGCCATCTAGGTGTGTCTTTGACCTTAAATTTTGGGGCCATGATTTGGGACTGGTTTGGTCGATTTCACTTTGTTGATTCATTTTGCTTCAAGACTTGCATTCATTTGTTCAGTTTGTCTTTTGCCCGGTTTCTTTCAGTGTTCTGTGGAATTGCGTTTATATTTTTGGTTCACCAGTGTTGCATGGCTGTTTGTCCGTGGTTTGGCTCGCTTTGTTTACATGTTTCTGTGTTGGCCTGGCATGCTTTCTTGCTGTTTCCATGTTCACTGCATGCTGTTGCCAGGTTGTCCCTGGCATGTTTTGTCTGCATGCTTGTCCTCATGTTCATGTTGCTCTTAGCCCTCCTAAGGTTTCATTGCACTGGCAATGCAATGTTTGCCTCTTGATAGTATGATAAGAGGTTGGGGCTTTATGTGTTTTATTGGTTGGCATGTCCCATTTGAACAAATGCACAACTGATTTCTTGGGCCATCGAACGCTTGAAATGTGCATTGGTGGTTCGGTCAAGCCCATCCTCCTTTCAAGTCCATAAACATATAAGGAGTGTGGTTGGTGCAAACATTGCTAGGGAGAGATGTGTGTTTGCCATGCCATGTTTGCCCTTACTGTGTCGAATAAAAGAATTCTGCAGAATTAGCGACCGGCATATGCAGTGCGACGCATCATCGTGGCCGAATATCATCAGAGGCCGGTGGTCTCTCCGATGGCCGGTGGTGTTCTGGTCTTAGCGGTGGTGTCACAGTGTCCATAGAGTGCTCCCGGACTTGTGCATTTTTCAGAGAGCAGAGCCAAGGAAAAACAGAGGCACACTTGTGTGCATGGGTGATTTCTGAGCAAACCCGAGCACGCGCGCATTGGGATCCTCTTCCCGAGGCCTTTACTGTTATCTATCAGGTATTAGTTACATTTGTATTAATTAATAAGTGGCTGTAATATTCATTGTCATTTCTTTGGACCCTCCGAGTGAGGCTAATTGTGTATAGTTCGTAGTGTGGTGTATGTTTCCAACCCATGTCTTTCTTCCCTTTTATTTACCGTTACTGATGGGTAGACTAGGGCATATTAATTTAGCATACCTTATGCTATGCATGTCGTAATCTATTTGTTCTGCATGTATCAGGTCGGCGCATCAATACAACTGCATTGTACTTCAATCCACGAGGTTTGTCGGTGGAAGTCGCATGTCACATGAGTTCTCTAACGCCATGCGGCATGTCGTTAGGGCACACTTCAGAATGCGCATTGCAACACCATTTAAAAAACATGTAAAAATGTTATAGCCAAGTACGTAAGCATACAAACATGCATGCAAACCGGTTGAATACCTAAGCAATATCGAAGCAATTTTCAAGCACCTTAAACACGAAAAAACATTGGCCAATGCCATACATAAAGCTTTGAAGAAGAAAACATGTAAAGTGATGGCCAATACTACAATTGCGCAAAGCATAGCATCCAAGCCTAAGGACTTAAACTATAGATACATCATAATTCGGATGATAGAACACATGAAAGCTATGATCAAAGTGAATCAAAACAGTCCCAAATCTATGCATGGATCTTAAATTAAGGTCAAAACACACTAGATGGCATCTTAAATGGCTATACATGGAAGCATACAAACAGGGGCCAAACATGGAGCATAAGATACCAACTTCTTAAAGCATTAAAGGAGCATATGCAAGCATAC